ATCAAACTTTGTACCCCAACTTACACAAACCCAGTAAGTACACGCACCGAAAATGATTATGTGTCTGTGACACACTAATGTGCAAGTTGGGGTACAGAGTTTGAGGTACCCTGGGGAAAATTTCATCCATCCTTGTTAAAGAATCAACTCAACCACAAACTTAAAGTTGTAAATTTGGGAAAAAAAAGTTTTATACTCAAAAACGGGGTGAGAGTGTTTGAATGCGTCCAGCAGCAAAGCTCTGATACCTTATCAAAAAAAAACTTAAGCTTGTAATTGTAGGATCGGAAAATGTTGTATGGTGTATTATTGTAACAATCTTGACCGTTAAGGCAACAAGGTGCTCATACCTCAACAAAAGAACTCATACTTGTGTAGTTATAAAGAAGGAAATTGTTTTAAAGTGTAACAATTAATGTTATATGGCACGGAGTATTTATTTGTTCATAAGATAATTTCACATGAATGATCAAGTATCTATCTCAATTCTCAACGGTGTTTTTTTGCAACTTTTTGTATAGAGTGACCACCTCCATGACTATGGGAGTTTGGGTGTGAAGTTATAAAAATCAAGATTCCATAAATTAAGCTCCTATTTCCCTTTATATTTCAATCACATAAATAAGTCTTTATTTCACACTGTTTTTTTAAATAGTGTCTAGTTCTAACGTTTAACTCTTAAAACACACTTCTCACTCTATCTCGAAATGAATTATAATTTTTTTGGTATTTCATTAATTATTTGACAAAATAAAATATTCTTATCACTTGTTATTTTATAAAAAAATATAATAAATTTTTAAACATGTAATTTTTATTTTCATTTTTGTACCAATTTTTAAATAAAATAATTTCAAAAAGGAAAGAAATTTGCTTTGAAATTCCGAACTTATAATCCAAATTAGGACTGAGGGAATGTATAACAACAATGTTTAATTTTAACATTTTTAAAATTAATCTGTATCATTAAAAAAAGTATCCAATATTTTATCTTAAATTAAAGGCCTTGTTCCAATGTTTAAAAAAAAGACCATGTTCCAAGGCCAAAATGTTCATTTTTTTTCTCTCATTAAATATCTTCACCCAACTTTCATCTAGAGGTAATTTCGAAAGTCAAATAGCAAAAAAAAAAAAAATTGAGAGATTCACTAAACATATAACGTCACTTTTTCATAGAATTCAAACTCTCTTTACAGTAATTAAAGGCGAAAAAGAAAGAAAGAAATTACGACTTACTGTTGAGCTCTTGAATCCAGCTTCTGGCGCTCTCGAAAGTGGGCCCCCGAGTGACGTCATACACAATGAGAGCTCCGGCGGCCCCTCTATAGTACGCGGAGGTGACGGACCGGAAGCGCTCCTGGCCGGCGGTGTCCCACAGCTGGACCTTCACCGCCTTGCCGCCGTCCACCTCCACCGTCTGCGTCTGGAACTCCACCCCGATGGTGGCCTTCGAGTTCGCGTCGAACTCGTCTCTGGCGAACCGCAACAGCAGATTCGACTTCCCGACGGCGGAATCTCCGATCACCACCACCTTGAATAAATACTCTTCTCCTCCGCCTTCTTCTCCCATTTCTATTTATTTATAATTCCCTTCCAAACAAAATGTTTTTTTTAATTTTAAATTATGTTTTTTTTTCTGTTTGGGAATCAATTTTGTGGAGAAGAGATTGGAAGAGGGGTTTTAAGGGTGTTTACGGAGGAGACAAGTCAGAGTGCGGAGATGCGTGATTGTCGCATTGATGTAAGGCCCATTTATTATTAGGGGGGGGGGAATCTTTATTTGAGATCTAACGGCCCATTTTCTTATTCTTTTCTCTATCTGGGTCCATTTGGGCTGATCCATGGCCTCGTGATTATGATGATGTGCCCAAAGCGGCCCAATTATGTGCCTCGTGATTATAAACAATCTTTTGTGTGTTTAGCGAGTTTTTTCTGATTCTACTTTTGAAACTGCCTACCAGTAACAATCTAAGTATCCCCAAGCCCAACAAAGGAGACACACATGTAATATCCAGACAAACACGTTCCCCGCATTTCCGCCCAAACACAAAAATATCAGTTGGTCGGATAGTAAAACTCCCTTCAAGTGGGTCTGTAGAAATTCATTGGAAATTCTACTCTATTATCCACAATGAAAAAGTGAGAAGAAAGCAATCTATATATAACATTTTTAGTTGGACTAAGTAATCAATTTGTTTTAATCTTTTAATGCGCTCCAAGTCAAGTGTCTAATGCCAATCCAATGATTTTTTCCTCTTCCTAAATTTTATCATGGTATTAGAGTTGGTATCGAAACCAACTTTAGCTCATCTCATTTGTTAAGATGTTCGTCTAGAGGTTTATTCATAGCGGCCCATTAATCTTTAGTCTAGTTACCAGAGCATGGAATGTATATCTAACAACCTGTGGCTTGTTTAACTCAATTGCTCGTCTGCAAGTCGATGCTCATTGATTCTTTGTCCTTTAGGTGTTGGCGTTAAAAATCTAGGATATATGAGTTCATTTGCAAGTGGTCAACCAGTTGGATTCAAAATAATTTGATTGTCCACTTGAATTAGAGTGTTAAAGAGTATACTACATCACAAACATGAGAAGAAAATAATCAATATATAAACTTTTGAGTTGAATTAAGTAGTAATCGATTGAATTCAATTTTTAAATGTGATTCAGCTCAAATTTCTTTTGACCCAATCCAATGATCTTTTCCTCGTCTTACATTTTATCATACCCTGTATAATTTGAAATATACTTCTTTCGTCCCAAAATATTTGGCACACTTAGAGGCTGTTTGACAACTTCTGAATAGGTAAGTGCTGAACCAGTAAGAGGTCTGAACCATTAAGTGTTGAACCAGTAAGAGGTCAGAACCATTAAGGGGCTGTTTGTTTCAGCCTCTTAATGGTTCAGATGTCTGAATGATTCAGCACTTAATGATTTTGACTGTTTGTTTCAGCCTCTTAATGGTTCAGATGTCTGAATGGTTAAGAGATTTGCCTCTGAATGGTTAAGTATTATACAGAGTCTGAATGGTCAAGAGCTCTTATCTGAATTGATCATACATTTGCCTCTGAATAGTTAAACAATATACTAGCTCTTAATGGTTCAGACCTCTTATTGGTTCAGCACTTAATGGTTCAGACCTCTTACTGGTTCAGCACTTACCCATTCAGAAGTTACCAAACAGCCCCTAAGAGCTAGTATATTGCTTAACTATTCAGAGACAAATGTCTGATCAATTCAGATAAGAGGTCTTAACCATCTAGACTCTGTATAGTACTTAACCATTCAGAGGCAAATTTCTTAACCATTCAGACATCTGAACCATTAAGAGGCTGAAACAAACAGTCTGAACCATTAAGTGCTGAACCATTCAGACATCTGAACCATTAAGAGGCTGAAACAAACAGCCCCTTACTTTTTCAGCACTCGGGGGAATTTTTGTTTATTTCTACGTTTTCATTGGTTATTTGATAAAATAAAATATTCTTGACACCTCTCATTTCGAAAAACTTTTCATATAGTTTTTTGATATGTAAATTTTATTTTTTATTTCTATACCAATATGTAAATAAAATTAATTGAAAAAGCTTGATATTTTACATCGGTAATAGAAGTGTGACAAATATCTAGAGACGAAGGGAATATATTGAAATATATATTTTATACTTTTTATTTTTAAACCAAATTTTAAATAAAATTATTTAAAAAAATACCGAGTAGGAAAGTCTTTTTAGTCTTATGGAGTACGGTGCATTTGACTGGGGAAAGTACGAAACCAATACTGGTTTAAAAGATTAAAAAAGAAAAAATTTGAATCATTTTAATTTAAGAAAATGATTAAAGTGACGAATGTTCCACCAAGAGTCCAATACTGAGAATCGGTTCCGTAAAACGGAAGAAAATTTAAATTTACAGCTCATGAATTATTACCTTTGGCGAATGATACATTAAAAAAATCTTGTACAAATTTATGATCTAAACTTAATTAAATTGGAATTATTGTATTGCTGAGTCTTGCGTTATATATTTATATTGAAGATAGTAAAAAATGAAAACAATATAAAAAATAATTTACCGTTACATAATTTTCATCTTCTTTATTTTTTCACGTTTTCTAATGCATCGCTTTGGTTAAATGGTTAGTAATATCTCAATTTATATATGCAGATTTGTTAAAAACACAAGATATTTTAAAGCACTATTTCAAAATGAATCAATTGATATCAAATTTACATCATAACTAATTTTTTTTATACATATTTTATAAGTAAATGAAAATAGAGAAGTAAATATTCCCTCGCGATCTTATCCAACTAACTTTTTCATTTACTATTCATAGTGTAAAATTAGTATTTACTTTATTTATTTTTATTAATTATTTGATAAAATAAAATATAATATAGTTATTTATCTCATAAACTTTTTAAAAGTAAGTAATTTTCAACTAACTATAAAATTCATTTATAATTTCGAGACCAATATTTATATTATATTCTATAATGTCAAGGAACTATTTCAATCAAAAGCGCACGCTTGTAATTGTGGCCGGGGAATAGTTATTTATATTCCAACATGCCCCTCACGTGCAGACGTAATCTTTTTCGAGCCTTGCACGTGAAACTTTATTTTTTCTTAAAATTGGGTAGCGTTGAGTTTCGAACATGTGACCTCTTAGTCAACAAGGCTCCGATAACATATCAATGAACTAATTCTACCAAAAACTCAAACTTGTGATTGTAGCCCAAGATTAATTATTTATATTCTAACATATAACATTACGAGACAATGCCACGAGACCATTCAGGACCATGCTAGAGTGTCACTACATGGGTGCTACCATGGGTGCACCCATGCTTCGTACAGACAAACACAGACAATAATTGTTTATGCGACACACACAATTATCGTCTGTATTTGTCTGTACAAAGCATAGATAGCACCCATGTGGTGACACCCTAGCATTTTCCTAAAAATTAGTCTAAGTAGTCTTTTGACGAGACGTACGGGTTGGTATTTGTATACAAGTGGTGAAGTGTTGTTTGGTACAGGGGATCCGCACCCACAATAAATTCCCATAAATAACTACTCATTTAAATCCCCTCCCAAACCAAACCCTTCACATCGCCCAAAAGTTAGCGTTTCCCCTTGCTGAAAACCCTTTTCTCCCTTTGTCAATTTCCCCATTTTTTTTTAAAAAAAAATTCATTTTCGATAATAATAATAAATTAAGAAGACAGAGGATGATGACAGGGGAAGGAAGCGTCAGCCTGGAGCTTCTCAAGAAAAAGATGGACGATTTTGCCAAGGAGAGAGGCTGGGAGAAGTTCCACAGTCCCAGAAACCTTCTTCTTGCTATGGTATATTTTTTATTTTTCTGATTTTGCTTTTATTAGTTTTTTCTTTCATGATTCTGAACTATTACATGAACTTGTTGTCTCTGATCCGTTGTTCTTCTCCAGAAAAGATCAGAAAGATTTCTTGAAAAAGTTTAAATTTTTTCCCCCAAATCTTAAATCTTTTGCCTGTTTTGATTTTCAGGTTGCAAATATAAAAACACCCTTCACTCATAATCGTTGCTTTGATTCTGACTAGAACATTTTGATTCATATTCTCCTGTTTCATTAAAAAAAAGTGTTAATTCTGATTCTTTATTGGATGAAGAGAATTTATTATTTGAGGTTGCAAATTAGTTATAATTTTGACTTATATTACTATCAATTGGATTGTTGTTGTTCTTGTTGTGCCAAGTTTAATTCTTTTACTTAGGGTTCATTCGGAAAGAGCTTCAACACTAAACGTTAGTCTTTTGAAAATGTTATCTGACGACAGTCCTAGTTTCAGCGTCCTCAAATTTAATTTACACAATTAAAACATCATCCAAAACGTTAATTGAAAATGTGATAGAATTTGGGATGAGTATGGACAACTGGATTAGGTAACAAGACACTTGGGTTGAACCACATCAAAAGATTGTATTCAATCGATTAGTTAGTTCAACTCAAGAGCTTATATACCGATTATTTTTACTCTTGAACTTCCGGTGTGGGATGCACCTTAACAAAATGTTAATAGAAAATGGGGAAGACCCGTAAGTTTTTTCTTGCTTTTCTTTCGAAAGATATTAACTTGACGTGAAAAAACAAACGGGACCGGTTTCGAACGGGTGGTTAATAGCGAATAACGATCAATGGTGGCAGGTGGGAGAAGTGGGAGAGCTATCAGAGATATTTCAATGGAAAGGGGAGGTGGGGAAGGGGTTGCCAGGTTGGGAAGAAGAAGAAAGGGTACACTTGGGAGAGGAGCTCTCAGATGTGTTGCTATACTTGGTCAGGCTCTCTGATATGTGTGGCATTGATCTTGGCAAAGCTGCACTCAGAAAGATTGAGCTCAATGCCCTGAAATACCCTGCCAAAGGGAACAAGAACAGTCCTTGCCTTGAAAATGATGCTCCCACCATGGTCAATGATTAGAGAGTAGTTTGGTTGGCACCAAATTGTTGTCAATTATTATCTTCATTGTTATATGATTAAAATAATGAAAGTGAAATAATTATGCACTTTTTGCTACATGATGTTAATGTAGTCCCAATTTGTCAAAAAAAGCCCATTTGTTTACTCCTCTTATTCAGATTATTACTTTTGAGGTGATGAGAATTTAAATAAGTATTGGCATGATGCATGTCAATATAATCTATTTCCTTTGTTCTTTAAATCCCTGTTATTTTGGGTTGTAATTTCAGAGTTGTATATGGAAGAATCGAGGACGAGTTGAACAAAAAAGAATATGTTAGAAAACTCTAATTTTGGACATAAAAGGAATTAATTCTTGTTGATTTTGAGGTCATATGTTACAAATTTGGATATATAATGATATTTTCTCTCTCCACCATAGATTTTCCCAGACACTATTCACAGGGTCAAACATAACTTACTTTGTTTGCTTATTTTAACCACTCATTTCATAAAATAAAATACTATTGTCACCTCTAGTTTTGTAGAACTTTTCATTTATTTTTTACTATATAAATTTTATTTTTAAATTTTATCCTTACAATCAAATAAACTGAATTAAAAATAAAGTCGGTCAAATCTCGTAACGCGCAATAAGAAGATCTTTGGTGGACGGATGGAGTATTATATATTAATCATATATAAATAGTTTTTTTAAGTCGTTATTGGAAAAACTGGAATTAGTCAGAAGAAATTTGAAGAAGCTGGAAAAATTAGTTCATTTTTCTAACTCGAAAGAGCAGGGCCTTAGAGTGGTAATAGACTAACACATAAAAAGTGAAGATATGTTCCATATTTGCATTGAATTATTTTTTAATAATTTAAAAAGTTATAATAGTCAATAACAAATTAATAAAATGAGTAATGATTTAATCCATATGGTCCAAATTCAAGTTCCACATTTTATTTTTTTGAAAATAAAAAAAACAGTTTTTTAAAGAAAAATTGTGTTTTATATTTGATATTCCATCCGTTTCTATTTTGATTACAATTTTTTCTTTCTCTATTCGATAATTTTTGTTTATTTGTATTTTTTCATTGATTATTAGATAAAATAAAATATTCTTGTTATTTCTTGTTTTGTAAAATTTTTGACATAATTTTTTAATATGTACTCCATATTAAAATTTTTGACGGAGTAATTTTTTATCGACATACAAATTTGTAAATAAAATAATTTCAAAATATATGAAATTTTGACTCGTAAATCTCTATTTGTAATCAAATTTGGGTTGGAGGAGCTTATTCTCTGTCTCCAAATCAACTTTATATATAAAAAAACTTTATATTTTTATGTTATCAATTTATTTTACTTCTTTCATTTCTTTATATGCTTGCGAACGTGTCCACTCACAGACTTAGGCCCAACTGCAATATCCATTGCCTATCCTGCTTTGTACGGCCCAATGGCCCATCGATTCAACCTGACCCAAACTCAACCTGCATTGGGTCCATGATCTCAATTATGCATAAGGCCCCAAGCAGGGCCCAGGCCTAATGAAGGTCGGGGGCACTCGGGGCGGTTGACGGCTTGAGCCTCCCAAGTTTGAGTGGTCTCAAATATTTTATGCATAGTATTACGAGTAGCTTAAAAATAAATTTTTAAGTGACAAAATAGTTTTTACTCATAGCTCTTCATGTTTGAAAATATAAAACTATTGTACAAACTACTACTAATACTATATTCACACATTTAAATGACATGCTACCGATATAAATGTTATACAAATATTGTATTTCAATTTGTAATCAAAAAATTTATTCAACAGTAACTTTTAGTTAGTAATTCTTGGAAAGACCTATTTTTTCTTCGTTCTCAACCCAAGAAATCTTAGGAACGGCCAGATCGTACGATGTAGTGTTCGACATCTGAGGTGGACGTCAATCTCGACGGGGAACAACCCCCCACCCCTGATCGAAATTCGGCGTTCGGGGGTGGGGGGGTCACGCTGAACTCGTCAAATGCCATTTCTCTCTATTTTCTCTCTTTTCTTCACCTCTTTTCTTTTTCGCTCTTATTCATGAAGCTCCCCCCATACCCTTCTCTTCTTCTCTCTTTCGGCTCTCCATCCTAGCATTGAGGTGGAATTCGAGATTCGAGTGTGCACTCCCAACAGCCTAAGGGGGCACGGGGGAGTAGATATGCGTGGTGGTTGGATATAAAGTGGTATTATGTACAAGATAAAAATATATAAATTTTAATCGCAAATTGGCATCAAAGAGTGGAGTCTGTTATTTGCAAAGGTCTTATACATAACATAGTTGCCTTCCAGCGCAGTTGCTAAAAATCGAACTCGAGTCTTACCTCCTTGACACCCCTTGTCTTGCCAACTGCGCAACGCCCACCGACAAATATTTGTGGATTGCCCCTTGGTCCATTGAATATGGATCATGTGGTATGACATTTGTGGATTTTAATTGTACGGAGTACACAATTATACTTGGTGTAAATCATATTTTTTTACCTACGTAGAATATATTTCTAAATTTTTTAACGAAATTCTCCGTAATATTTATACGGAATAAATCATGAGTACGTTTCTTAATCCTAAATACTTAAAACTCTGGTTTTAAAAAAAACTTAAAATTTGGTTTTGGTTAATTACGTTTCATTATTGTTTAAATTAGTGCGACCAACAATGATATCATTTTTTCTAAATTCATAAAAATAATACCATTGTTCTTTTGACCTTAGATGAAAATGATCTGTTGGTAAAAGTGGTGATGCTTACCTTCTAAATTTAAGTTAGGGGAATCAATATTCATAAGCCTTAATTAGATTTGTATTTTGGCAATGACGATGACAAAAAACGGCGACAATGCTAAGCATGAAATTCCTGCAGTGAGATCCAACACTTTCTCCACCACACCAGTACTGAGTAAGAGCATCCCAACCTTATTTACTACTCCCTCCGTCCCAAAATATTCACAACATTTGTTTTTTCAGCAGTCGCGGGAACTTTTGTTTACTTCTACATTTTCATTGGTTATTTGATAAAATAAAATATTTTTGACACCTCTTATTTCGAAGAACTTTTCATGTAGTTTTTTGATATATAAATTTTATTTTTTATTTCTATACCAATATGTAAATAAAATGAATTAAAAAAACTTGATATTTTACCTCGGGAATACAAATGTGACAAATATTTAGGGACGGAGGGAGTATATTGGTCTGCTATTTTTATATTTTAACAAGTAAGAGTGATATAGTAAGTGATAATATGTTCCATTCTCCAACCATGACTTGCTAATCATTCTACAACTCTTGACTTCCTACAATTTGGAGAGCTTGTTATATTTAGCAAGTCAAGTTCATTTTTTGGCAAACTTGGTAAAATATAACATACTCTATGGAAAAGAGAAACATGAGTTGACTTGCTATATTATGGCCCTTAACAAGCCAAATTATGATGATTGGAGATGCTCTAAAGGTAAGCATGATTCCATGTCTCTTGTCTCATTTCAAAATATCACGGTACCATAATTTAATGTCTGATTTTATATTGATTCGGAAAATTTTGTCCTTAACATGTCCTGAACCAATTTAAATGGATTTAGACCAAAGCAAAAATTATTTGTCTTGTTTTGTCTTGTTTTTATAAATAAATAAATATTTATACTTATAGAGTATTTTTCTTGAAAGGCACAGATTTATTTATGTAAATGAGATAATAGAAATGAATATCATACTTTTATTTATCTTGGAACTCACACGCATTAATGTCTAAACCTAAATATTCGTCCACATTACTTGTTTATCCAACTTTATAAGATTTGTAAATTAAAATGTTATTTTTTTAGGTCCCTAATTAAACATATTTGTATAAAATATTTGGATTTTTTTGATCTTAATATTCCTCTTTTCGTCCTCATAGATCTTCGTACTACACGTCAAAAGGTTGACTGGTTCTTTTTTAAATTTAATTTTTTTTGATTTTTAGTATAAATTAAAACATAAAATTTATATGATAAAAAATTATATGAAAAAGATGACAGAATAAGATGTAATAAGACTATTATTTTATGAAATAAGTAATAAAAATAAGTAAAAAAGTTAAAATTAGGACATTTATGTTTCATGTTTGCATTTGAGAAAAGGTTAAAATTAAGATATTTTGAACTATTTTGAATGATTGGGAAAGTAATATGTCAAAGTAAGAAAATGTGATATTCCAAATCGTTTTGTTTGATTTTATAAATTGAGACTGGAACTAGAATTAAAACTCAAATAATTCTGACTCGTGCCTGCTCCTACTACTCGGACACTAGGAGTAAAATCGTACAAAGACACTCGCTATTGCGAATTTTCTTCGTCTTTATTTAAATTATCTATTTTAATTTACGATGTTTGATTAAAACTATTTTCAATGTAATTTATTTGAAAATTGGAAAAAAATCAAATTATAAAAATTACATATTAAAACATGATATTAAAATCTCTATTTAACAAGAATTGATATGATTATATTAAATTATTAAATGAGTTTGCATTTGATATTAAAATCCCAATTATTAAATTATTAAAATCTCAATTATTAAATTGATATGATGATATTTAACATGATATTAAAATCCCAATTATTAAATTGATATGATTATATTAAATTACATATTTATGTTTCATGTTTGCATTTGAGAAAAAGTTAAAATTAAGATATTTTGAACTATTTTGAATGATTGGGAAAGTAATATGTCAAAGTAAGAAAATGTGATATTCCAAATCGTTTTGTTCGAGGTGGAACTAGAATTAAAACTCAAATAATTCTGACTCGTGCCTGCTCCTACTACTCGGACACTAGGAGTAAAATCGTACAAAGACACTCGCTATTGCGAATTTTCTTCGTCTTAATTTAAATTATCTATTTTAATTTACGATGTTTGATTAAAACTATTTTGAATGTAATTTATTTGAAAATTGGAAAAAAATCAAATAATAAAAATTACATATTAAAACATGATATTAAAATCTCTATTTAACAAGAATTGATATGGAGGGTGTATTCAATCCAGACTCTATAGGATTTTTTTTTATTTTAAAAGTCAATAGGTATTCAATTAGGATTTTGAAAAATCCATTAAATTCTGGAGGTATTCAATTGAGATTTTAAAAAATCTTTCTAAATCTAATGATATTGAAAAGTTGATAGATTTTTTAGGATTGTTAAAAAAAAGGATTCTAATGTATTTTTGGTTTGAAATATGAATAAAAACTTTGTTTTGAAATCCAACCAAAGTCGCATGTATTTTCAAGAGTCAAGAGTCTGTCGCAAATCTCCTTCTTCGAAAATTTTCTTCTTCCCCGTCGGTGCTGGTTCTTCTCGATCTCCTTCCTCGCCGGCGATGGTTCTTCTGCAAATCGGATACAAGCCTTCAAGATAAAGTGATTCCATCGGGCGCTCCCTTGTTCAGCACTCCAGATCTGTCACCGACTCCGAGGTCGTCGATTACGACAGCCGGCGGCAACGAATACCACGGAGGACGAGGGAGGAGCAGCGCAAACAGAGTCCAGTAGCCTTTTCGTCCAGCGCAACGGAGTCTTGCGGAGACGAAACTACACAGAGCAGTAGCGTAGTTATCCCCTTTCAATTCCCAAGTTTGTTCTCCGGTGATTACCCAAGAACCCTAGTCTTCAATTCTCTTATTTTCTCGTTATTCGCAGAGGATTTTAAGGCCGATTTTGGGTTTGATTGTCTATAATCTGTCTATCGATTATACACAATCAAACATAATCTTATAAAATCTTGGTGATAAAATACATCAAAATTTATCGAACTCTGCGTAGACTTAAAATAATCCATATACTTTAAACAATCTATCCTAATCTTTCATAATCTTAATTGAATACACTCCCTGAATTTGAAGGCAACCTTTTCACAAGTCCCAAACCTAAGCCATCATGACCGTGGAGGTAAAAAGATCGCTCCGTAAAAAGTACAATTATGCAGTGCAGATAAAATTTTGAAAAATCTTGCTTCTTGGGAGTCTTGGGATCAATAGAGGGGGCGGATAAACAGAGAGTTAGGTTTCGATTAATAACAGAGAGTTGGGACAGTGTTTTTGAAAATGAATTACATAAAACAGCATATGGTAACATTTTTAAAATTATTTATATTATTATGATTTTATCTAAAAAATGATACAGAACTACTCATTCCGTCCTTAAAAAAACTGCCTCTTTCAGTCAACATATAAAATACCATGATTTTTAAAATAATTTTATTTATAACTAATTTAGAATTAAAATATACATATATTTAAAAGATAACATAAAAAATTTATAAAATAAAATATGACAAAAATATTTTATTTTATCAAAATATCAATAAAAATATCGAAACATGTACATTCTTTATCTTTAAATATTTGTTTAATTTTGACTTTTTTCAATCAATTGTTTTGAATTTTGACTTATAATTAAATAAAATGTATTATGGTAAACCTTCACCTTTTTTCAACCCCATAGATCTTCCTAATAGCCCTTTTTCTTTGTCCACAATAGATCTTCTCATTTCATTTTTTAACAATTAAAATACCATAACTACTCCACTTACTTTATTTATTACATCTCACCCACCTCATTTAATACACTCCACCCATATTTCATTAAGGTATTATGGTAAACTTTAACCTTTTTTCAACTCTTCTTAAAAACCACCAAAAATCAAAATGAGAACATATTAGGGGGACGGAGGGAGTATATGTTAAGTATATAAAATAATATTTTAAAAATATTTTTTGTAATAAATCTAACAAACTATTTTTTTATCAATATCTAATATCATTTGTATTTAATTTAAAGTCAAAATCTATCCATTTTAACCAAAAAATGGTCGAAAATGGACAACTAAATGCTGAGGGAGATAGTTTAATTTATTATAAAACCCTATACATAGAGACATTCTCCCACTACCCCTTAATTACAATCTTCTTTCCTTCCGTCAATAACTTTTATTTATTTTTGATACATTAGAATAAAATAAATTATTTTTATTACATCTTATTTTATAAAAACTTTAGATATAATTTTTTAATACGTAATTTTCATTTCTTATTAATATACTAATTTATAAACAAAATAATTAAAAAAGGCATAGATCTAATTCGCAATTACTCCCTCCGTCCATGTAAGATGTTCTCAATTTGATTTTTCACAGTTTTTTAGGAGAGCTGAAAAAAGGTGAAAGTTTACCAAAATACTCTTAATGAAAATGGGTGGAGTGTATTAAATAAAGTGGAAAAGGTATAATAAATAAAGTAACTGGGGGTAGTTGTGGTATTTTAATTATTAAAAAAGGTAATGAGAATCTATGTGGGACAAATAAAAAGGGCAAATGGGAAGATCTATAGGGACCATTTTGTATTAAAACATGGACCATTTTGAGCCTTGAGTAGAAAATACAGACGTTTTCGAACATGAATAAGAAATGAGTGCCAAAGAGTAGAAAAATGTCCATTAAAGCCAAGCATTTAAATTGCACACTGCCCAAACAAGGGCTCCATATATCCCCATCAGGAGAAAAATAGCACAAATTAATACTTTCCGCCTCGACGAAAGAAACGTATCATAGAGAGAGATCTCAAACGCTTTACGGGGCACTCAAGTGGTCGCACCCGCACAGTGAATACTAGAGCGATGCTTTGCAAGGAGTAAAAGATGAAACGAAGATAATAATGCTACAAATTCAAAAGCTAGAATTGGGATTAAGAGCGATGAATCATCAAAGGACTCAAAATGTTACTAGTCAAAATTACCAAAAGCAAACAGTACTGACAGATTCATATCCAAGTCTGATAACAGAGACAAACTACTCCTCCGTAATAAGAACTAACCACTATTGGGTTATACGGTGTGCCGAAGTACACTACTACCATGGGCCGGATGGGAAATTCACTAAAAAAAAGCAGAGTAATGAGACAGTTCAGATCCGAGACCTTTCAAGCCTCCACCGCCTCCTCAGTCTTCTTCGCCGGCGAGCAGATGAACCAGAAGTTCCCATATGGATCCTTCACCTTGCCAACGCGACCACCACAGCAAGCGGCTTCACCCTCAGAGATTTCACCTTCAGCAACAGCGCCGGCAGCAACAGCATTGGCAAGAGCTTTATCAACGTCCTCAGTCTCCAGGGAGAAAACTCCGACGGCCTTTTCACTGAGAAAAAAGCACAACACATGCATGTTTCGGTCACTTCATGGAGATTTCAATTTTATATAACGAATAACAGCACAGATATCATGAGATGTATGAAGAACAGAGCAAAAAAAAAACAGATCCAAAACGCATCTCACGTTTCACTCACAAGGCCTTCACGGATATTGTGTGCACAGAGATGCTATTACCTAAAATAAGTGCTTAAAACGGATATTTGAGTGCACAAACTGGATTTGGAATCGATCTGGTGAGGTATACGGATGAAGCAGCGAAAAATGAGATTAAAATGTTCAAAGTGAATTAGCAGCGTGCGTGACGACCGATTATTGAAATAATATATCAAAAACCAGTGAATCGACTTTTAAACACTCAGATCTATAGATTTCAGAAGAAATATGAGAGAATACACGCAAAATTTCTCAAAAATAACACGAAATTTTAAAACTCACGGAGCAGAAGAGTCCTCAGTAAGGTCAGACACAAGGAACACAGAGGAACCGAGCTTAAGCTCGGCAAAGAGAACGAGAGGAGCTTCCTGATCGGCCTTCCTCTTCGTGTTCATGACACGGCTGACCTCCTCGGCACCAAACGCGGCCTTGTAGAACTGAACGGCGTCGTTTGCCTTGGCACCTTCAACAAAGAGCTGTGGTTTGAGAGCGGAGAACGTCACAGCCTTCGCAGCTCCGTTCTCAGCACCGCCGTTCTGAGCTTCGTTCGCCATTTCTCTCTCACAAGCTGCCGAAAAAACGAAAACAGAAAGAATGGAAACGGAGAAGAAAGTTTGGAAATGGCAGAAAATGGCTTCAGGAAGGGATAAAGGCACGACGAAATGGGGTAACAAACGGGGTACTTATAGGAAGAGACGGAGCGAACCGTTTGAGCTATTCGGGGATAAAGTGGGGATTTGCGGATATGTTTATCCGCGAAATCGCCCTCGTTTTCGGTACTTATTTGCAACATTGCCACTCGGGTAGGTCTTTTTAGGGGCACTGTGGGTATTTCACCGCCGGTTTCCATAAATCGTTCGTGTCCTCTTTTTGTCTTTTCACAAACCCACTCTAAGGAGAGGGAGACACGTGTCGTTAATGCTACTCATACGTGACGGGATAGAATCGGCGTGAGCGGAAATTTTGTTGGGAAATGTAAGGGCACCTTCACCGGCTTAAGCATTTAATGGAATGACGAACGTGTCCTTGTTTTTCAATTAAATGTCCCAATTGTCCAATTTTTTTAGTGGATTGACGAAGATGTGATCGAGTTTATGATGGGCTTGAGAGGCCCAAATGGTTTGCAGGCTTGGGCCATGCAAAAGATAAATACTCCGTATATCTTTTGTAGGAGGAATAGAAAAGTACCAAATTTTCAAGGACATTACTTGCCAAGACACCAGCACTAGAGTTTTGTTTAGTTAGAGGGAGGAAATGATAGAGAAGGGAAAGATAGGAAATATAATGATTTTTAATTTCATAGGTATATTTTACATTAATGGATTAGTGAAAGAAATAAGAGTAAATTTCATAATTGGTCCTTTATAATAGGAGGATTTCCCTATTTAGTCATCTATTATCAAATATTACCATAGTGGTCCTTCTTTTATGAGTATCTTTCTACAAATAGTCCTTTTTTTGATATTTTATCATGTTGGAGTCAATTTGAGGGCTAAAAGTGTAATTTCACAATGATAATATATCCTTTTTGTCATACACAATTCCAAAAGTTGTTCCATTTGCGTCGTTTGTGAATTACATTCGCTTTCTACTACAACCATAGTCTGCAAATGTAGTCTTCCGTCGGAATCCTAGCACACAATCATAGTCATTATTCTTGTGTTATCCGCTTAACCAATATCATAACACGTCACTAGACATAATATTGATGTCAAATTATACTTTTAGTCTTTAAATTAACACCCACATGACAAGAAGATCAAAAAAGACCATTTGTGGAAAGGTACCCTTAAAACAGAACTACGATTGTAATATTTGATAATAGATGACTAAATATGGAAATTCTCATGTTATAAAAGACCAATTATGAAATTTACTCAAGAAATAATTATAAGACAAAAATGGTTTAACCACAAATATATTTGATTGCCCTAACCTCAATAATAAATGAACAACATCTACAATGAGTTGCTATACAATATTTGGGGAAACCAGCAAAGGCCGGAAGAAATTGGAAATAAATGCAAAAAATGAAGAGTTGCAAGAAACTGAAATATTAGAATGGAAAAATTGTAAAAATTAGAAGTTAAAGATTCAAGCCTAAAAAAACATGCTCTTAATAGCTATTCTTTTAAAATGAAAAGACTCCTAATCCATCCTTATAAATACCCAAATCAATACATTGTTTCAAATCAATTAGCCCGCTCAAATATCTTCACTCTTTTAGTTTAGTGTTAAAATTATATTCTCTTTTTGATAGCAAAGGAATGGAATCATTAAATCAAAAGCAATGGAGTTTACCAGACACTCAGGTGAATGATATATCATTACACAGGATCAGACATAGAATTAGTTTCCCTAATTATAAGGTGGTCAACATAATTCACAAATTTATTAACAAAATTAAAGCTCAAGCTACAACAAAACAACTCAATCAACAACTCAAACCCCAACTAGAAAACAAGTCCAGCGTCGCACCAAATGACAGCACTAGCCCCACACCTATTGGCCCTTGCATTCGGCCACACATATCAGCTCCTGCACTCAACCACATCCATTGACTTAATTGTCGTCTTCAACCTTCATCAAACCAGTTGATCACATCGGGCCATTGGGCCAACATAGACAAACCATCCCATACATAATGTATTTGTACAGTGCATGTACCAGTATAATACATACACGTGTATAGACAATATATCCCAGTACTTCCATACTAATGACCCTTGGGCCATATTAGTCTTGCTCATTAAGACAACTATATGACACTTATGTATGGTGTACAACTAGCGTATAAATATTCTTCCTATCCATGTGGATATACCAGCTAAGCTATCATGAGTAACGTAGCAATAATGCAAATGAATATTATCATTCCATTGCATTATCTTGTTCCTAGGTCTTCTTTGTCTAGTTTACTCTGGAGTCTATACTCGGGTTTCTACAATCCGTCAACCGCATTTCAATATGTTTTATTTATTTATATATTTCTCTTGGCCATTTTATAAAATTAATTTGTTTATCATATCTTATTTCACAAAACTTCTAATATAATTTTGAAATATTTAATGTGTACTTTTAATTCTTATATTATTTTTGCCCAGATTTAATTATCCCATTAAAATTTTCTTGATCAAAGTTTTTAAATTTTAATTTCAATGTACAAAAGAATATATTATATTTCAATATAAATATAATAATTTTTTAAAGAAATATAGCTTTAAAATATTAAAATTTTTATGAAATATATCTATATTAAGTTTTCAATATTAAGGATCAAAATTTGTCATTAGATGGTAAAAAGTTGAGTTTAGGCATTGTTCATGGTAGAAGGACGGAGGGAGCTGTGGAGCACAAACGAAACTAAAAGCGATCTATATGTGACCGTTAACAAACACTGTAGAAAGTTATTAGTGGATCCTGCCTTTTCGCAACTTCCATTCCATCAAACGTTGATCATTGATGATGATGATGATCGAGTTTAATTAACCAAAGAAGGAATTTCTTTAGATTTGCGTTTTAAAAAACCATTTATATCGGGTTTAAACTTTAAAAGCAGAGAGGGGCAAAGCGGTCCCACACTCCACAGGAACATCTTTCACGCGGCCAGCTCTTCTCCGTCCCCAGTGTGTGTGTGCGTACCGCCAGTCACCCTCGCCCGTTCCCGGCCCGAGAAGAGAGGGTTAGCTAAACCTAACGGGTGCATTCTCAGTTCGTTATCCGCCATTAAAATCGAGGTTGGATCGAGAGAGAGTGAGAGGCGGAAATGGCAGGCTATGTGGGAGTGCTGGTGTCGGATCCATGGCTGCAGAATCAGTTCACGCAAGTGGAGCTTCGGAGTTTGAAATCCAGTGTAAGTTCTTCTTAATCTACGAGGATTTGTTTTCCGTGTTGAGTTTTGTGTCCGGATTCCGAGGATTGCGCGTGGTTCGTGCAGTTCGTCGAGATCAGGAGGGAATGCGGGAGCCTGACGGTGGCAGACTTGCCGGAAAAAATGTCCAGGCTGAGGAACGTCGGAGAGAGCCTTACTGAACAGGAAAGAGACGCGTTCATCAGAGATTCGTATCCGAACATGGAAGACGGTGTTGATTTTGAACTTTTTCTTCGGGTAAGTGCACATCCATTTTCAATGCTGTTTTGTCACTTGTCTGAGCTATACACTTACCCAGTATTTTACTCATTTTACTTTAGAATCCTTAGAAACTAAATTTCATAGCTGGTTGAGAAAACTTGAACGATAAGATTCCTAAAAAAAGCTATATGGCTGGTTGAGAACATTTGAACGATAAGATTCCTAGCTAGTCTCGATTTTCAAATTGAATTACTTTGTCAAGAGAACCCCGGTGTAGTGTGGCCTTTATTGAACAGTGAAAGGTACCAAGCGAACCAATTTGAAAGACGAGGAAAGAGTAATGCTAGGGGTACACCAAAAGGTGTACCCCAAATGTACACCGCCCTCTTTTCTTCCACACATTTTTATTTGATTTTTATATACTTATTTTTTTGAATTTTTTTGCCTTTTTTAGTGGACAAGGAGAGGGTGGGGGACATTTGGGGTACACCTAGCATTTTTGGACGAGGAAAAGATTACTAGGTTCCGTTTGTTTCCCTTAGAAAGTAAAACTTCTCTAAAAGTAAATCTAATTATTTTCCATAATTATACATTTATACATATATTAATGGAAAATGGCTCGTTCTTTGAATATTAAGACGTTTGGGTTCTTTTGAAATCCAACCCAAATGTCAAGACACCGGGTCCATTTGTGCACTGTTTGACCCCGGATTGGTTCTTACCTCTAACCCCCAAAAATTCCCGAGCCCGCCAACCCCTGCCCCCATTTGTCACCCAAATCTGGGCGGGTTAGGGGCTTGAGCTGAGGGGCATGGGCGGGCTAAGGAATGAGTAGGTAGAAACCACATGGGGTCGAACGGAACACAGTACAAATGGAGCCGCCTCTTATTAAGATCCTATGTTTCTTCTGTCAAAAGAACCCGCCTCTTATCATGCTCTATTTGTGATAGATATACTTGAAACTCCAAGCACATGCTACAGCTCGAGTGGGAAGTAATGCAAAAAACTCATCTGCATTTCTAACGTCTCCCACTTCTACTCTGCTCCACACAATTAGTGAATCTGAGAAGGCATCATATGTAGCACACATCAACAATTACCTTGCTGAAGATAAATTCTTTAAAAAGCGCCTCCCGATAGACCCTTCAACCAATGATCTTTTTGAGATTGCAAAGGATGGAGTTCTTATCTGGTGATCATAAATCATAACCCTTTGTACTTCACCTTTGGGAATATTGAATTTTATCGTCCAATGTAACTAGCTTCCCTATTTTTCTTCTAATGCAGCAAACTTATCAATGTGGCTGTACCTGGTACTATTGATGAAAGGGCAATAAATATGAAGAAAACACTCAACCCCTGGGAAAGAAATGAGAATCATACGCTAGGGCTAAATTCTGCTAAGGCAATTGGATGCACTTTGGTCAATATTGGAAATCAAGATTTCATTGAAGGCAGGGTATGCATATTCCATTTCTCAACTATTGTTTTTACTATACATAATGTAATCCTGCATGTTTGTACCTGTTATCCTTATTAACATGCTAACAGTCCATGCTTATGTCATGACTCATTATATGATGCCATCATGGTAATATCATGTTTTAGTATATGTGTGCTATTAGTTTTGACTATTTATA